CATATAAGGTATGGGACTGACGGAAAGGTCTGTCACCGCCCCGTTCTGCATGCTGCAGCCAAGTGTACCTCCCCGGGTCAGCACTGGGTCTGAGGTGTGGAGATCCAGGCTGTAGCCGAGGGTCGCCCCAGAGGGGGTTAGGAGGGCAGAGGAGGCTCACCTGCTTCGTCTGTAAAATATGAAAATAAAATTATTAATCCACCTCAGATTTTGATGAAACTTTCACGGAAATTCTATTGCTTAGACTTAGAGCTGCAGCTGACGGCTCAGTGAAAAACTTTATTTGACTGAAATTATTTTTTGATTGAATAATAAAAAACTAAATGACCATCATTAACAGTTTTAAATCTACAAAAGTTTCAGAGACCTCAGGTAAAGAACAGAACTTAGACCCAACTGGATCAGACCAGAACGGTTCTGGTTCCACAGAGGTCCACTGACCTGCTTAACAACTGGATCAGACCAGAACTATAATGGTTCTGGTTCTAAAGGTCATAAAGAGAAGTTCTTCACAGTTTGGGTCAGAACATGTGAAGGTCCTGACAGAGAACACCTCTTTGGTTTCAGGACCTGTTAGAGACCCTCAGGAGGGTAAAGACCACCATGACAGACCAGACCGGACCGGGACTCACCGCTGCTGTAGGCRTACGGGGACTCTGCTGATCCGTCCTGCAGACTGTCCAGGATCTCTCCCTTGCCCACATCGCTGTCTCCCACCAGCAGGAACTTCAGCAGGTAGTCGTGGCTCTTCACCGGGCTGCCCTGGCTGCTCATCTCACCTGTCCTGTGAGCCAGCAGCCTGGCTCTGTGTGGTCCCTCTGCTCCGCCCCAAAACACACCTGCTAGGCCATGCACCTCCACTATGAGGGTCCRCCACACAGCTCTGGTTCCAGACTCAAAAACAGTTCCAGTCTCATAAAAGCTGGGCTAGAAACTGACCTCTGTAGATCAGCTGAGGGGTCCCACTGGGATCCAAGCCTCAGGTAAACACCAGCTGATTCACAAAGTGGGTTTAAATAAACCCTGAGTTTATATTTAGCTTGTTTTGCAGCATCCTGACCAGGCATAAATAATAATAAAAATATATTTAAATCAGTCCTTTTTGCTCCATTGTTTATTAACAAGAAGCTAGCCCTGCAGCTAACAGGCTAGGCTAGCTGTTAGCAACTCTGCTTCAAAGCTACAATGTTTGGTTAAAAACGCGTCACACCGCAACATTAGTGGGCTGTAAACATTTCTTTATAAAGGATAAAAAGGACAAAATGTGTCTGTTTTCTGAGGAGCTAGCAGCTAGCTGAGCTAACTGAGCTAGGTGTCATCAGGCCCCCGCTGCTCCTCATTTCATCTGATACAGAAACATCCAGAACGTGACAGCCCAGGTAAGTTCTGCTGAATGTTCTCACAGCTGCTTCTTCGGTCCGAACCTGGTTCCGTTTATGTCGGCCCGGAATGTTTCCATCTGTCTCCATTCTTCTGTGTCATGATGACAGATGTCCCTCCTCAGCTCCACAACAACACCGAGCGTCCCTTCAGCCTGACGCCCCGCCCACTCGCAGGCAAGCCCCGCCTTCTCTTTGCTCTGATTGGACGATGGGAGAGCCACGCTGCGGCTTTTATTGGCTGCTGGAAGCGTCGGTCTCATTGTGCTGTCAACAATGAACAGATGGTGAGCCGGTCCATTCTGCCAGAACCGAACAAAGACAACATGTGAGCAGATTATTAGAGATTCAAATAAAACCTCTGGTTCATTTATTCTGACAGCACGTGAAACAGCATCATTTATAGTTTTATTTAGGCAGGTAGGTGAGCTCTGTGACAGGTGTTACACTGGAACAGGTGATCACTGGTCCAATCTGTCCCTGCAGTGCTGCCACAGTCCGACCATCATGTCCACCAAGGTCCTCAGTGGTGACTGATGCTAAAGGCCTGTGTTTGACTGCAGGTGGCTCTACCTGAGCTGCTGTACCTGAGCTGCTGTACCTGAGCTGCTGTACCTGAGCTGCTGTACCTGAGCTGCTGTACCTGAGCTGCTGTACCTGAGCTGCTGGTGATGGTAGGACCTGCAGCAGGGACATTGTCCCTCTGTGTCTCTGTCTTCTAACCCTAAGTGTCTCAGTGTGAGACAGTCCCATCAGGCCGGCCCTGTGACACCTGTAAACATCCATCATGGAAGTGCTCCAGGGTTCTGCTGGATCCGGTTGGACTGCAGTCCTGACCTGGTGCTGCTGCTCTTCTCCAGAGGATCTGCTTCATTTGGTTCTGGTGTTTAAAACACAGACATGAACTCATTACATCTAAACCAGGTGTGGAGAMTAAGAATGATCTCACAGACCTCTGTGCTCCACTCTGGTTCTTCAGGACCTGTTTCTGGTTTAATCCTGGACCTGCAGAACTTCTGCCCCCTGCTGGACAGACAGAACATCTGACAGTGTTTCTTCATCCTGTCAGAGGATCAAGCATCAGACTGGTTTTATTAAATCAACCTTCAGGTGAAACTGTTCCTGCTGCAGACAGTAAACATTTAATCCATCAGATTAATGTTTATAATCTGACACCAGCTGCTGCTTTAAATAACAACAACTGATGTAAAACTTGGTACTTTCTTTATTCAAGTTTAGGAAAACAAACTTTTAATCACATAAAACATTAAAAAACTACAAGCTTCAGTTCATGRAAAACATCAATGTTTCAAAATTTAAAATAAATTAATTTGTTAAAAAATGGATTTAATAAGTGAAAGATTTATTTTCAGATTAAGAGAAACTAGAATCCTGCTGCTGCTGCTCCTCCTCCTCCTCCTCCTGCTCCTCCTCCTCCTCCTGCTCCTCCTCCTCCT